CACCCTCATCGTACTAACACTCCGTGCCTGTAGCGCAGTCGTTGCCCATGTTACCAAACACCATGGCCTGGACGTTGACAGCGGTGCCCCACCACTCCGGGATGTCGTGCAGCTGCCTGGTGTTGCACCACCATTCTTCTCACGGTTCTCCGGGGCTCTTACCAGTCTATTGCGTCTATATAGAATGTGTGGTGGACAAGAACCTCCGTTGCGGCACTTTCCTTTATGGGACCTGCAGTCCGGTGATGTACGCAACCATCTGAAACACACTCGGCCCCTCCAAAACGGATCATTCAATATCATGTAATATCATCAAAGACGACACCCCACACTATATCGCTGCACAACCCATCCTGCCATCGACGTTGAAGGTTTGAACTAGGACCTTCGTCTCCCTCCCTACAAGAATCCGGACATTGATAAGTGACAAGATGTGACAAGTGCCTGTACGTCTTGGCTCGCTGGTTCATCCAGGAGTTGAAGACCTTGCAGGCCCGCACGCTGCGTGGAACGAGCCAGGACACCAGACTTAAATGTGCTGTTCAACTCCCAAGCCAAGAAGCAGCACCAATTGCACCCCACAGCTGGGCTTTCGGATCTTCGGGAAAGTCCTCGCCCAGCTCCAACTGCACCACAGCTTTGTACCTTGCTTCTTCTCTGGCTTAGTGCCTGGCATTGGCACCGTTTCCTGTTTAAGTTGATGATTAATGCTCAACCATCTCCGCCATGAAATGTTCACCCGCCCCATGCATACGTCCTACAACATCGCCCCATATCCCCCAATACCCACAACACGACGCGACAGCCCCTCAGAAATCCAAATCCCTCTAATGTCCGGTTCAGATGCGATTTGACCAACTTCTCCAAGTCTTCAGCGAGAAGCTCACAGTCCTCTACGGAAAGCTTGCATTCTGAGCTGTGGGGGGGAGGAATATTTCAAACCATCCGTCCGGGTGATAGTAGATACCGTTAAAGTATGACAATGAGAAACGTAGTGTTGCTTTCGGATCCGTCTAACCCCTCAAAACACCTTAAAGACATTCCGTCCTGCTTCACACCGCGCTTCTCCTTCGCACGCTCCAAGTGCTTCTCAAAGTGGCTGATCTCGATGCCCAAGACCACGTCGGAGTACATCTGCACGAAGCGCCTGTAACCTCCAAGGTTCTTCACGACCAGGGTACTTGCACATGCACAGCTTACGCAGTTTGGATGAGTTGATGAGTTCGAAAGCGGCTAGAGTCGAAAGAGCACGTCGGCACTGAACAAAAGCTCAGGAGCTATCGAAGGCAAAGCGCCGGTCACCAGATTTCTTCGCCAAAGCTTCCACGGTCTGATCGTTCAGGCCCAGATTGAGCACGGTATCCATCATTCCTCACAGGGCCGGAGAAGGCAAGGTGGATCACGACAAACATCAACACAGAAGGTGGGCGGCATGTTGTACACCATGGAGCTTCGACACAAGCTGTCTTGCACGCAGACACGCTTACGGTGACTGAGGATTTGCAGAGAACTCGTCCTGGCATGGACGCACGCGCCCCAGAGCGGACAGAGACCAGAAGTGGGTTGGTGGAGTCGCCAAAGACACGGCCGGTGCGCTTCTGGACCAAAGCCAGTGCCTCCTCGACCTTGCACATGGCTAGAGGCGATGTGGATTCGGCTGAGAATGCGGGGCAGAGAATGCCAGTGGAACTTGCAGCAGGCGTGTGACTCAGCACTCCTATTCTAGCGGCACCTGCTTGTTGAGCTCCTTGGGATAGTTGCAATCGTTCTGATAGAAGTGTGTACAGATCTCCGTCGTGAGCGTAAACCCGGGAGGCACCGGCAGGCCGATGGACGCCATTTCCTCAAGCGCAAGCGCACATGGAAGAGTGAACGGTTCTTCCCAAATCTGCACATGCTTACACACGAGTGAGAGTCACAGCCCTGAATCTGAATGGGACTGCACAGGCTCCGCAAGGTTGGCACCCTTGCCGCCTAGCAAGTTCTTCATCTCGGCTCGGCCGTCGGCCTGCACCACACTGCGATGTCACGGCATGGACTCATGAACGCGCGAAAGCCATCAAGCATGCCACGGCTCCTGGCCATCACCGAAGTTGTAAACCCACGTGGCCATGTGTGCTGGAGATATGTGGGAATCCTGATCGCCCAGATGCTTTGAACCTCAAATGCTGCATGGCATCGCGCACGTGCGTTGTCGACGTTCTGGCACGGTAGGTAGAAAACTAGTTTCTGCGTAGGGTTAAAGGGTGTTCGGAACTACGTCGATTCAAATCCCACGCCGTCAACGCTAGCCCGAAAAGTGGACGCTGCTGCGATCCCGTTAAAATCAAAGGCTCCGCGGCCCGCGCCAAGGCCTTCGAGGGATATTAGAGATGCAACCCCGAGAACGACATGGTTGTTGCTCCTGGCTGCACTTGTTGAGCGGTCGGCGAGGTGCCGTGGGTGGTTAGGTCGGGTGGTTGTTGGGTCTGGTTGGGTTGTGGGTGGGTGGCTGGGCCCCAAGGGCCTCTGCGTGTGGTCGGACCCGGCGCTCCGCGGACATCGCACCATGGACCTTGTACAAGTGGGCAACCCGTCGAGGCATTCATAAGTGTTGGGTTTTAGGATGTTTTGGGGTTTATAGGAGTTGGGGTTAAGGCTCCGGGGATCGCAGAAGTTGGCTGAAATGAGCGGCCAGGAGTCGCGAGATCTTGTTCGCGGCGACAGGCGGTGCTACATGCAGGAGTTAGCGCTGTACAAGTGCAGCAACCATTCAAACGATGCGGTCGCTTGATTAAAAGGCACATGCATGGCCACATAGCCTTCCAGAGTGGAATTCCTCTCGGCCACGCTGATTCTGTCCCTGAAGCTACTTAAAGAATCTTTAAAGCTGAAGCCAAAAATCGAAATCGCGAGCATTCTGGGCGCAAGCACGGCTGGCTAAACAGCTATCACCGTTTGACACCACTTTAGACGACCCGTCCTCATTATTGCCGCATTTATATGTGTGAGATTTTGTGAAGAAGCCGTGCCACCACGCCGACAGCTCGCCAAAACGTGCAGTGCATCTGACAATGATTCGATAAACGTTTCCTCGTCGATGCTGCTTCAAAGCGTATGATGACAAGCAGGCTCACCAAGGGCCGAAGTTTTGTACCCGGGGCTTGGTGGCCTTCGTGGAGCTCTGCTTGGCCTGCTGACCCTTGGTTTTCAAGGCAGACTGAGCCGCAGCCAGTCGGGCAACTGGCACGCGAAAAGGCGAGCAGCTCACGTAATCCAGGCCGATGCGCTCGCAGACCTCGATGGAAGCAGGGTCGCCACCGTGCTCGCCGCAGATGCCCATCTTCATGTGGGGCCTGGTGCTGCGACCGCGCTCCACTGCCATGGTGATCAGCTCGCCGACGCCGTCGGGATCAAGGGACACGAAGGGATCCGTCTCCACGATTCCCTTGGCCTTGTACTCAGGCAGGAAGGATCCAGCATCATCACGGCTCAAGCCATAGGTGGTCTGCGTGAGGTCATTGGTGCCAAAGCTGAAGAACTCCGCCATTTCTGCCAACTTTCCAGCCTGCAAAGCGGCGCGAGGAAGCTCAATCATGGTGCCCACCTTGTAGCTGAAGGTGATTCCCTGCTCTTTCTTCACTGCATCTGCCGTCGTCTCAATGACTCCCTTCAGCAGCTTCAGCTCTTCGGTGGTTGCCACAAGTGGCACCATGACCTCTGCCACTGGCAGCTTCTTGGAGCTTCGGCCGACCTCGGCTGCAGCTTCGAAGATGGCTCGCGCCTGCATCTCGCAGATCTCCGGATAGGTGATGGCCAGTCGGCAGCCACGATGGCCCAGCATGGGATTGGCCTCCTGCAGCTCTGCAGCGCGCCTGCGCACCCGCTCCAGGGGAACGCCTGCAGCTTTCGCCACCAGTGCCATCTCGGCTTCCGTGTGCCTTGGACAGACTAGGACTCAGGCGAAAGACAAGCTCCTGCTTATCTAGTCTTTTGCACGTGAATCCCAGATAATTCCAAGAATGATTCTCTTCAAAGGCCGAGAAGCGGGATGAACTCGTGCAGTGGAGGATCCAGTAAGCGCACCGTCACGGGCAGTCCGTCCATAATTTTGAACAACTCCTTGGTTGACTTCTGAACCCCTCCTAAAAGTTAAACTTTTCTCCTACTTATTATAGTTCATATAGAAACCCAAAAAGTTAAAGTCCTAAAAGCCAACCAGAAGA